CAGCGTGGGGGGCGCTGCTGCGGGAGGACAGCGTGGGGCTGGGGTCCGCGGGGAGGAGAGGAGTGTGGGGTGCGGGCTGCGAGGGCTCCGTGGGCACGGAAAGGCCGGTGAGGTTACTCAAGGGGTGTGGGGCTGCAGGGGGGCTGCGGGCTGCCTTTGGTGAAGGCTGCCGCGTTTCTGGGTTGGGCTGTGGGACTGGGAATTCTTCTCCCACAAACGGTGGGTCAGACGTGGGACAGCGTCAGACAGTCTGTGGGGCAGAGAGCAGCCAGTTGCCCCCTGTCAGCCTGGGGAAGCTCAGGGAAAGGCCTGATGTCCGCCCTTGCACAATCTGGTGCCTCCATCCCCTTCTCCAGCCACCGGAGCTGCCCCACAGCCTGGCGCTCGGGGGCTGGCACGGGCTCTCACGCCCTGTGGGGAGTCAGGGCTTAGCACCTGCTGCCGGGCCTGCCGGTCCTGCTCATGAGGACGCCCCACTGCAGCCTGCCCTCCCGCTGTGCCTCTGCTGCAGCCCCGCTGCCCATCCCTGCTCCTGCTCGGCTCTCTCCCAGCCTCCCGCCGGGAGCTGTTGGGTTGGCTGTGCTCTGGGGCACTGCTGGGGACAGGGGCCTGTCCCCTCCGGAGACACACACCCGTGCACGCAGGAACCACTGGGGGCGAGACCAGACACCACCCCGGGGCGAGAGCACACGCACTCACCCTCATTCCGAGGAGGGGGCTGCCACAGCATCCTCCCCTCGCTGCCATCCTCCCCTCGCCCCCCGCCTCGCATCTCCAGCGCCAAGCTGTGCTCATGGTGTGACACAGCCTGTGCTAGGGGCTCCCTGCCCCGGGCTGTGTCAGCCTGCAGCCCCTGACACTGTGGGAATGGCGCTGCTCCCCAGACCTCCAGCCCTGCAGTAGGGATGCCCAGCACCCCTGGCTGCAGCCCCCCCGTGTCACCCTCTGCCCCCAGGTGCACAGCCTGCAGGAGCTGCGGCGCAGCGCGTCCCTGGCCACCAAGGTCTTTGTGCAGCGGGATTACAGTGATGGGACCACATGCCAGTTCCAGACAAAGTTTCCCCCTGAGCTGGAGAGCCGGGTAGGGAGTCTGAGAGGTTGCCAGGGTGGGTGGTTCCCTATGGCAGTGCCCTGTGGGTGCTCAGAGGGATGAGAGGTCTAAAGGTGTGGGGGTTTATGGGGTGTTGTATGGCCCTGGGCCAGCCAGTGCTGTTGGGTGCATGAAATCACAGCTGCCTTAGCTGGTGTGCAAGGGCTTTGGTGCTCCTGGGGCCTGGGACGCTCTGGTGAAGGCTGCAGGCTCAGCAAGTTACGGATGGGAGGTGGGCAGGGGCCTGCAAGCTGGGGCATCAGCTGGGCAGGGAGGAGAGGGCTCAGTGGTCTCCAAGTGCCCCCAGGAATGGGGACAAGGTGGCACAGGGAGTCAGTCCCTGGCCAGATGCCTCTTCACCCTGGTTTCTGTCCTAGATTGAGCGACAACTTTTTGAGGAAACCGTGAAAACCTTAAATGGCTTCTATGCTGAGGCAGAGAAGATTGGGGGCAGCTCATACCTCGAGGGATGCCTGGCCTGTGCCACTGCCTACTTCATCTTTCTCTGCATGGAGACACATTATGAGAAGGTGCTGAGGTGCAGGGGTGGGCTCAGGCTTTGGGCACAGCTCGCAGTGGGCACGAGGATGGCTCAGGGGTGTCACAGGGAACATGGGACTAGAGGCCAGTCATAGGCAACAATGCTGGCAGGCCCTGAGTGTCCCTTTCTGTGCTGACAGGTCCTGAAGAAGATCTCCAAGTACATCCAGGACCAGAATGAGAAGATCTATGCGCCACGGGGGCTGCTGCTCACTGACCCCCTGGAGCGTGGCATGAGGGTCGTATCCTTTGGGCAGCGGGGTGCTTGGGGGATGGCAAGGGTGAAGGGAGACTGGGCGTGGGTGCTGGGCAATTGGGCTGGCCCGTCTCACCGATGATCCTTAGCAGGGCCCAGATCGAGATCTCCATCTACGAGGACCGGTGCAGCAGTGGCAGCTCCAGCAGCGGCAGCTCCAGCAGCAGCAGCGGTGGTGGCGGCGGGGCGGGGGGACGGTGACTGGCAGGGAGTCCCTGCAGGGACTCATACTGCCGGGACAGTGGCCTCTCCGAGCTCCGCAGGCTGCACTACCAGAGCACACGCTTCTGAGCCCAGGGAGAGCAGGAGGGGGAGGCCGGGGGCACCCAGTGAGGCTGCCCACCCCCATCTGCTCTTTGTCCCCCGCAGTGGGCCTGCCCCTGCTCGGACCCGCTGTGGGTAGGGACTGGTGCTGGGGCATCCCGGGTGCTTCCCATGAGCCGAACTTGCCAAGGGGCTCCTCCAGCCCCCCGTGTGTGCTTGGTGCTGCCGCCCCTGCCGCAAGCGAAAGGAGCTTGTCCTGCTCGGGCAGTCCCAGCTGGCAGTGCCCCTGTCCCCAGGCACCGGGGAGCTCTGGGAGTGGCAAAGCCTCGGGCAGCGCTAAGCAGGGGACGCACACTTAACCCCACGCCCACAGACACTGACAGCTCTTGCTGCACCCCCTCCTTAGGGCACCCTGCTCTTGGTGCTGTGGTGTGGGCTCAGCTGCTGCTTGCCACCATTCAGGGGGCCTGGCAGAGCACTGGTGCTGCTTCTACTGCATGATGGGCCATGCATTCACCCCAGCTCTGCCCCATTGCTGCTCCCCTGGCCCCCTCCCCAATCTGGCACTACATCCTCTCCAGCAGCATCCTTCACTGCCATGACACTGGGCACTTGCTTCTGCTCCCTGCACGACCTGCTGCCATCCCTAGCTGGACCCAGGTATTTCTCCAGCCCAGTGTCCAGGGCAGGGAGGTGCAGTGCTGGGCATGATGCTGCCCCTGTGCCATGTGCCCTGGGCTCATTCATGGCCCAGCACAGTTGAAGCTGAGCTGTGGCATGGGTGAGGCAGGCTCCCTGCCCAGTCCTGGCACAGTTTGTCTGTACCTTGCTGCCAGCAGCCCCCTGCCTACTCTGCCCCATGACCTGCCCTAATGCAGGGAGGGTGCCCAGTGGAGAAGCTCCATGAGGACCTTTCCTCTCACACTGCTGAGTCCTCCCCTGCCCATATGTCCTGCATGCATCTGCCACCAGTGCCCCATTTCTCAGCCTGGCCTGTAAGAGGGGACCTCAAGGAGCACCTGGGCCTGGTGGCAAGGTGTGGAGGTTCATGGTCCAGAGTCAGATAGGGGGAAACAGGAGGGTCCCTGTGATATCCAGCACCCCAAGGAGAAGAATTCCTATCTGGATGTAGGGCTGAACTGAGCTGGCATTTCTCTCCTGGTGACCTGGAGGGAGGACTCTGCCCTGTGGGACTCCTTTTGGCTCCGTCATGATGTGTGTGTGGGGTGGCCCTGGCCTCAATGTTCCTGCTGGAGCCCCCCCCTGCATGGAGACCTTCCTCAATAAACCTCACGCTTCTTCCCCCACTGCCTACCCTGCATCTTCTTGTGTTGGAGTGGTGAGCGAGGCTGTGGGGGCACAGAATCAGGCTGGGTATCTCTTTTCACACTGCACAGAGCCCCACGAGGGTGAGCATGGGGAAAGGGAGGGGATGGGGAGGAGGGGGCAGTCTAGGGGAGTAGGGACAGACCTGTGCAGCAGTCATGGGGCCCTGGGACAGGGACACACAAGGAATACAGTGCAGGAAAGGGTTTATTCAGTTGGTACTGGGTGCAGCTGGCACAGTGCTGGGGGGTAGCAGGGAACACCTAGCTGTGCCAGAGCAGGCTAATTGTGCTGGCAGCGTCCACCAGCACCCAGGGAGAAGCCGTGGTGACAGTGGCAGTGGAAGGAGCCATGGCTGTTGTGGCAGATATGGTCGCAGGGGCCAGGCTGTGCCTGACACTCATCTATGTCTGAGAAAGAAGGAGCAAAGGTCAGAGCTGTGCCAAGGATACAGGGTGCGTCTGGCATGGGCAGGACAAGGGATGGAGGGGGCATGAGGGTGGCAGCTCCAGGGCTGGGTGAACTGGGACACAAAGGCAGGTGCTCCTGCCGCTGCTTGGTGCCAAGGCTGCTGGGTGGCAGATGTCCTTACGCCACCAACTCCTGCACAGCCACAGCCTGTCCCTTCTGCCCCCCAGCACTAGGGCTGTGAGCACAACTGAGCACCCCAATCATCTCTGCTGCCAGGGCAGCCTGGCAGCACCAGGTGGCCGGGCACTGCAGGTACTCACCCAGGCACCGGCTGGCAGCCGGATCAAGGGGACGGAAGCCTGGGTGGCAGAGGCAGGTGTGTGCCCCAGGGGTGTTGATGCAGACCTGGCTGCAGTTGTGCAAGCCCTGAGCACACTCGTTGATGTCTGGTGGGGGTAAAGAGAGCAGCATGGGGTTATAGCATTCAGAGGGAAAAGCAGTACAGCCCTGTTGTTGGAGTGCAGGCAGTGCAGCTTGCTGTACCCCAGCCCCTTCAGAGCTGCACATTTTGCTGTAGCCCCAGTGCAGAGCTGGGCCAGGGGCACCATCACCCTGCAGCCAGATCCCAGCCCTGGGGAGTGAATCGCTGGGGATGCTCCCCTCCTGGGCTCTGTCCCTGTGCAGCCCCAGGGTGGGGTGGGCAGAAGCACAAGCACAGCCCTGGCACGCAGAGCTCAGCAGACCAGGTTAATAGATGGGATATAGTTTATTAGGGGTTCTCTGGGAGAGGGGCTGGAAGACTGTTGGGACTAAGCAGGGTCAGACTCCAAACAGTAGGGTCAATATGTTAAAAAACAGACCAGGAGGATCCTGCCCCTGCAGGGCTGGGAAGACCCTCCTCTGCCAGGGCTGGGGAGGTGGTTCCCGTCACCGAGGAGGGGGCAGGCAAAGCACACACGTCGCAGGCCAAACCAGCAGGCACACGGTACGGTATCGAGGCGACGGAGCAAGCGACCATCAGGGAGGTGCCAGCATGGCAGGAACAGCACTGGGGCAGTGGGGTGTGCGGGGGAAGGGGCACTGCCAGGCTGCCCCAGGGCTCCTTTCCCAGAGATGGTGCACAGGACAGCCAGGTCTGTGCCGGTCCCACTGCAGATCAGCCCAGTATGTCCCAGCCGGCACTTCCGGGGTGGCTCAGCGTGGACAGAAAAAGAGAGACAGGCAGAGGCCAGCCCATCCTTCCACCAAGGCTGCTCTGGCATGTTACAGGCAGGGGTTAAAGTGCATAGAGACAAAGGCAGAGTCCGAGGACTAGAGGGAGGAGGGCACTGTGGGGGAGCCCAGGCCAGCTCCCAGCAGAGGGATATCCCCCGAAAAAGGCCACTTGAGCTGCACAGAGAGGGAGAGAAGGAACAAGAGAGGAAAAGAGAAAGAGAAGGGCTGTCAGTGGCAGCTCAGTGGGAGGCACGGACAAACACACACAGAACCAGGGTGGATGTGGCTGGGCTGCCATCTGAACAGGTTGCAGGCTGTGGCCTGGCCTTTGTCAGGGGTGCAACAGCATGCCAAGGTGGTGTTTTGGCACTGATGCCAGCTGGCATGGGGTCAGGGTGTCCCAGCAATCACTCACCCACGCAAGCTGTGCCATCCTCGTTTGGCTCAAAGCCCCGGCTGCAGCGCTTGTTGCTGCGACAGCGGTACCCGCCATAGGTGTTGATGCAGATGGGCTTGTCCCGGGGACAGATGAAGGGGAACTCAGTGCACTCATTTGTGTCTACAAGATGGTCCTTAGTGTGAGACATGTGGGCAGAGAGCTTGGGGCTGCCCGCCCCTCCAGCTCCCCCGGTATGCTGGATGGTCACCCTGGTGGTAGCCATGCATAAGCCATACCTCTGCCCAGGAGGCTCACAGCATGGCCACAGCTTCCCTGCTGCATCTCTGCTGCCCCTCCATCACTCATGGCTAGAGCACAAAGCCTGCCACGTGCCAGCCATGCCTCCAGCCCCAGCACAGTGCTCTCACTGCTCCCTGTGCCACCACAGTGCTCCCCTGGAGCTGTACTGCTGTCCCATTCCCAGGCCATGTGCCAGGCAAGCAGCTGAACCTGGCACTGAGCCATGTGGCAGGCAGCCACCTCCCAGTCTCAGAGTGTCCCCCATGGGGCTATGCTACAGCATCCTGGGTACAGGCACACCTGTGCTTCCAGCAGCCACTCACCTACACAGCGTCCATTCTCGTGCTGGGAGAATCCCTGCCCGCACTGCATTTGGGAAGAAGCAGAGACTGCTGGGATGGGGAAGGATCAGCCCTGGGCAGCCACTGAGCCAGCAGAGCCCAGCCCCTTGTTTCTGTCCCCAAAGTCTCACACCCACACCTGGCCCTCACCTCCAGCGGTGCAGGCATGAGCGGCTCCTCCACATCCAGAGGGTAGGGGATCTCCAGGACAGAATTGGTCTCGCTGCTTACCACAGCTCGTGACACCACGCGCCCATCTGGCCAGGTCACCTCCAGGCTGCTGGCTTCGTCATGCCCTGCAGGCGGGCAGCCCATCAAAGGGAGGGTCTCCAGGGTGGGCAGGGGCTGAAAGGAGGCCATCGGGGTGGTAGGGATGGGAGGGGAAAAGTCTTCCCTTGCTCCCTGAGCCCAGCTCCAGGTGCTCATGGACAGCCTGTGCACACAGATGTACTCTGAGGGGCGTACGTGGGGACAATGGGATGACCTTGAAATAGGCAGGGACACCCCTGCAGGCTTGGCTGCTGGACATGCCACACCAGGGGACAGTTAAAGGGAAGAGAAAGCCCTACCCCCTGGGCAAAGCAGCAGGCAGGGGATGGGGAAGGGGGCAGCTGCCCCTTGCAGCACAGCTGCAGTGGCTGGGCACCCTGCCCACAGCCTCGCACAGAGCCCACCATACCTAGGTGACAGGCATGGATGATTACTGTGCTGCAGGACACCGGGGCAGCAGACATGGTCCCTGCCCTGGGCAGTGCCAGGGAAGGCTGGGGGTGGAGGCAGCCCCTCGACCCCCTAGCTCACCCAGTCCGAAGTGTGCCACAGGCTCCATCTCGCAGAGATAGCCGGAGCCCCCGTCAATGATGCGCAGGTGGGCCCCGCTGCGCCGGGTGAACAGCACCACTTTGGCCCCCCGCGCAAAGGCCCCGAAGCGGGTACGGGGGATGACACGCAGCCAGTTGTTGCTGGTGCCCTGCAAAGGAGGAGGGAGCAGAGAGACTGAGCTGGGAGGGACCGGAGGGATGGGTACAACATGAGGAGTCCCTGCTTGACTCACCTGAGTGCCCTTGAAGATGGAGATGGGCTGTGCCATGGACTCACCATGGGATAGGATGAGGTCCAGCATCCCATCGCCATCAAAATCTGTCACTGCACCTCCTACAAGGACAGAATCATGTTGTGCCTGAGGCCTGGCCCCATGTCTCCCAGCACTAGACCTTGCTGCTGTTGTGGCCTTCCACTGGCAACGGCAGTGCTCCTGGCCACACAGGGACAAAAGGGAAGATGGGGTGACTCCAGTGCAGGAGTGTGGTTGGCATCCTGTATTCAGGTGTGTTGGCACCCTGGGCAGTGGAAGGGACAGGCAGTGCCTGGAGGGCTGTGGGTCACAGGGAGCTGCCTGACCTCCTCCCAAATGCAGAGGGGTTGGTTTTGAGCAGTGGACACACAAGAAGGGACCCTTAAAGAGTACCTCTGGGGTACTGGAAATGGCACTGCTGGCTGAACACGAGTGGAGGGAGAAAACATGGGGCCATTCCTGGTGGTGGGGAGTAGGCAGATAACTCAGTCAGGCATGTGGCACCCTCAGGCACAGGAGGTGCCACGCAGTGCTGTGACAGGGCAGGTGGACCCACCTGTGCCCCGTCCCTCGGGCTCCAGTGCATCCCCTGGATTCAGCTCTTCCACAATGGGGTCTGAGTGTTCTCTGCGGATGAGCCTGCCAAGGACACATACAGAGCATTAATGCCAGCTCCTGCAGTCCTCAGAACCTTCCTGCATATGTCTGTCCCCTCCTGCAGAATCATGGTAGGGGTGACAGCTCTGGTGCTATAGGGTGTGGATGGGGGATGTGACTGTCCCCTGCATGTTGGCACGTCTTCACTCTATGTAGGCGCAAAAGGAATTTCATGAGAGCTTCTGGGTCTGAACTGCAGAGTAGCAATACCATCTGTTGCATCCCTCTGGAACCTGGAGATGTCTCCAAAGGGCTCCTTGCAAAACCCTTGCCCTCTACCCACCTACGGGTGCAAGCATTGAGTACACAACCAGTACCCACTGCCCTACACACCAGGCAAGGAGGTGCTACACAGAAGTAATGAAGAATTGACCCCCACAATTAACAGGAGCCAAGAACAAGCTTCCACAAAGCTACTAATCAGCGGTGCTGGGGACCCCAGGGGCTGCTGCAGGCACGATCACAGTGACTGGTAATGATGCCAGGAAGGGCTCAGTCACGATGCCTCTTACGAGCTGAGCCCGAGCCGCGGCACTGCTGGAGAGCAGCCCAGTGAGCCTGGCTGTGCTGTGAGTGCCGCTGGAGCCGCAGAGCAGGGTGCAGGCTCCCCGGCCCCGTGGGGCTCCTACCGGAAGAGGCGGTTGGCGGAGGAGCCCCGGTAAGCGATGTTATTGAAGAAAACCTCCAGCTCCTGGTCATTGTCGAAGTCGGCCGCGATGACGGTGCGGACGGGCGACGGCATGGAGAACTTGGGGGTGGCGATGTCCTGCATGGGCACAGCCTGACAATAGGCACAGGAAGCAGGACACTGGGTGCTGCTTTGGTGCCTCGGGTCCTCTCCTCGCTGGCAAGTGGGGCTCAAAGACAATTCAGAGCGAAGCCAGCGCCCCTGGCCGAGGTGGCTCAGTGGCAGAGGCAGCAGTGTGGGGACTCTCAGCCCTCACCCGGAATCGGACACGCCCAGGAGCTCCGCTCTGCAGGTAGAGGCGGTGCGGCCCGTTCCAGTTGCCATAGACGATGTCCACCCGGCCGTCGCGGTTGAAGTCAGCCAGCGCCACACCGCGTCCGTGCTGGTAGGGGTCATCCAGCCCTGGGGAACCGCAAGGGGACAGGGGGAGACGGGAACCTCCTCCTGCCTCCTTGTCCCCAGCACACCTCCGAGGATGTGCTCCATCGTCCCCAGACAGCTCCTCCAAGCGCAGCTCCACGTGCGCTGATGGATGCCCCGATGCTTCTCAGCCACTGCACAGTGGTCAATGGGGGCTCTGGGTCCCTAGGGCTGTCCCCTGCCCCCCACACTCATCCAGTGCGGGCAGGGACAGGCAGAGCCACCCCTGCCCCGAGGTCCCCAGCATCTGTGTGGTCCCCCCAGCTTCCCCTACTCACCCACAGCAGCTGCCACGTCCCTGTACGTCCCGTCCCCCCGGTTGTGGAAGAGGAAGTTTGGGCTGTTCTCATTACCGCAGAATATGTCGGAGGCGCTGTCACTCAGGATGGGGCCCACGGCCACCCCACGGCCCCCTGGGGACAGCAGCCCCGGGTGAGGGACAGCTGCCCCACCGGAGTTAGTGCTCCCCATGCTCCCTCAGTGTTGCCCACACGGTGCTCTCAAGTACCCCCCCTCATTCCCCGCGTCCCATTCTTACCACCTCCTACCCCTCTCATCAGGAGCTAATTGGGCCTGGCAGCCGCTTGTGTCACTCCCAACCCTAATCACTGCCATCGCCATGGTGACAACACTCCTAATTAGTGACAATTTACCGCTGGGGCACGCAGCAGTCCCCACGGTGGTGGGCCAGCATGCGGCGCAGGCGGGCTTGTTCCCCCCGAACGCCCACGTTCCCAAACCCCGCTGCCTGCCCTATGGATGCTGTGAGCTCTGCGGGAATTAGCCCCAGTGATGGTGGACACAGGGGTCCTGCCAGGCGTGCGTCCCATGCTCCTGGTCCCTTCCAAGGGCCGTGGGGCTGCCACTAGATGGGGCAGTGAGGCAGCCCAAGGCGGGCACGG